TACTAAAACAGGTATTGATGGTACCTTAAGTAGTGAACGCCAACTAGAGCATCACATATTTGGGGAAAACGTATATTTCGATGAACGGCTCAGTGTGCATATACAGAAATGATAGCCTCTAGCTATGCAGAGTACTTCGAGAATAAAGCAATCGCAACCTCAATACAGTGGTATTAAGGTTAACTGTTTTTTTTTTTTAACTACCTTACTATTTGTCTCAAGTTGTTTTATGGTAATTATACACAGCAACATCGCAAATAAAAATGTATCAATACTCTCGTATATTCCAAATTTTATTTGATGTCAGGTCGAGCATGTTTCCCTTAGGCTAGGTACTGGAAATTGTATTTACACTTTAAATGCTCTACTAATACTATATACTCGAAACGGAAGAGTTCAGTCCTCAACGAGAACTTTCTGGGTGATTAAATCCAGTGCAGTGATCGTGCAAGCTGCACAACTTCTATGAAAACGCTATGTACTAGAAGTATGTACAAATCAGTCCCATTAATTAAGACCCCTTAATTAGACGTTCCGGCCTCAGGTTCCGAGTTACTTGTTACACGTTTACTACCGGCCCATTACTGTTTCTAAAGGTAGCACTCAGCTCCTTCAAGTATCTTAAGGACTCATAGCGCATCTGATTCGCTGAAACAACTGATAAAACTAGCAAAAGTGCGCCTAATAACCAGTCACTGGTTACTGAATGAAGCGTGTGTGTGTGTGTGACAATTCATCGGTCAGACAAGAGACGTGGAGTTAGTTAAGCTGAGCCGCCCGGTAGAGTCAAACGTAAAAACTCATTATCCAAGTAGTCTTGTGCTAATATCCCCCCCTCTAAAGTACAATTTGCTGAGCGTCAAAAGTGCCTTCCCAAAAATATACATAGAATCAAAAAAGTATAGTCTTCTTGAAAAGGTTTGTTTTGAGCGATCGGCCTCCAAATGCTTTAAACCTTTACGTAAAACTCCTCAGAACTGACATTTGCTAGCTTTCTAACAATATATTGAGGACAACGAAGATATCAACTCGATACGGTCATGCATTGTTAAGACTTGTCGCACAATACGCAGCACCAGTCAGAAACACGTCTTCACGAGCTAAGAATAACTAGGTACTGTCAGTACACGAAACTGCGTCTCTGTGTGACATTATGAATTAGCGATAGCGATTGGTATAGAGGACCAACACGAGCCAAGCCGCCGACGACGACTACGATGGCGCTTCGATGCTTTTGCGACACGTAAATACCTAATACAAAGCGATATAGCTCGAGGCGGAATGAAAACAAAGTGCAACTAATGGAGCTCTGAAAGTCACGTCAAAGCTGGAGGGATAGTACATGCAGCCCCGTAAGGAGAGCGCGCGAATCGAAGGGACGAAACGCGACTCAGCCATCCGCTTCTTGCTCCTCTCGCATATAGTTGAATCGGTTCTACCATCAAGTGCAAGAAAGGAAAAGCCAAGTGGCCTTAAGAACTGCAAAAAGGCTTTTTAAGTTGCCCGCCGCTGCTACGACTCCCGCTGCCAGGTACCTTTTAGCGATAGAGAAGCCGACACTGGCAAAGGTACTACATACTACGTTAACAGGCACCAAGAATGAACCTAAGAAGGATCGGTACTTGGGAAAGAGAGCAAACCAGTAGTGCTGTGGCCGCCGAGACCATGCGAACGTGCCTGTTCAGCCGAACATAACTCGTTCCTGTTAATCTAATAGTACATCCCAGAGGACGACTTCGCAGGCAGACAGAAGGACAGGAAGAAAGACGAGGTCTAGAAAGGAAAGTCCCCTTTCAGAAATCATAACCAAATCGATTTTAATAGCGACCAACTGTATTTGAAGGAAGAAAGAATTCTACTAACGCCCGTGGAGAGCCTGCTTCGTTTCATTGTAAAATAATATATATTAAGTGATGTCGTGAGAAGAAGGTTTCGTTTCATAACTGCAATTATTGTTAGCAACGGCACGAACTTTCACTTTGCACCATTTTAGATCATCTCCACCAAACCAACGCAAGACGGACGACATAGTATAAATACCGCCAAATAATCCACTGTGTATTTCTAAACTGATATACGAGATTACAGTTACAGGGTTAGAATGTATTCCTTTTTCATCTGAGACCAATAACAAAAACGACAGAAAGAGAATAAGATGTTAGCTTTATATGCCCAATAAAGTAGCCCTCATCATGGATTGTGCGATTACGGATCGTCCACAGGCCGTCTATATGATAACTCTTTCTATACTGTTTGTAGATCATGTCGCTTGAAAAAGAAGAAAGGCTGATTTTCCACGGGGTGACAACGAACAACGTCCGGCTATTTGTCGTCCGAACGGCTCCACAGTCAAACTCGGGTGCTGTTACCAAGTGGGTTGGTTCAATGGTTGTTTGGTAGTCTTGAATAAAGTGGACTGTTTCCTCGAGAACAGTCCAAGTACTAACACCGTCCAAAGCTATGAAAGCAAGGCTTGCTTAGTAACTTCTCATAGACTTTCTGTCTGTATTCAGGCTTTTTCTCCTGATGTCTCGTCTCTTCTGACAAACACGGATTCGACGTATGCGAGCTCCAACCACTCCTGTGTTCCGCAAGCGTTCGCCGCGGTTGGATGTGTCATGTATGTCCTAATTACATTCGTCCCTCGGCTCCTTATTACCGTCTATCTTTCTCTCTGGTGAGTCAGCGTAATAGTGCTACTAGACACACGAAGACATTGGGTAGTTGCCTCCGCCGACGCTGACGACTGTAAGGGCCAGCCATTCTGGGGTTGGTGGTGGCGATGGGGGAAACTTACCCTAGAACGCACACTATGGTTTCCGTATGGTAGGGTCTGTGTGGGGCACTGATGCGGGCCACGAGCGTCGCTACTACCGTCAGTACAGAGGAAGGCCGCTGTCACGACGAAACTGGCAGACAGAAAGCAAAGAAGTCTCTTCGGCTGGGAAAATGGTAGCTGGTAAGGGTTCGTTCGTAGTCTTCCCGCTGGCTCCGTTGTTCAGACTCGGTTAGTCAGCAGAAGAGCAGTGGACCATGGGTAAAGTGAGGAGAAGAAGGAGAAGGCAAACGGGAAAAAGCAATGTCCATCTAAATGTCACCATCAGAGTGTAGTAACAGAGGGGCAACGAAAGGAGTACGACAAGCAGCAGCAGCAGCAGCAGCAGCAGCAATAGTCGGATGGGTTATAGTAAGAGCGGTGATGTCGGCGGTCTGCAGTATGTTACAATAACTAGCTTCCCTTTCTATTCTCTAGTGCTTTGGTGCCATCGTACCATGCTTACGGTGTCCGGTTCCGCCGGCGCCGCATTCGGTAGTTTTGCCAACTGCTTGATGACGACGCCAGAGGCACGAGAGGAATAGAAAAAAACATCGGCGGTAAGAAACCAAACGGAACCGAACAGGGAAAGGGGCAATCGGTCGTCTAAGAATTGACATGTAAAATGTACACGGACACGGACGGCATAGCGAAAGGGTTATAAGAGACTTGATAAATGAGGACACACGTATCGTATGTAGTTCTCGGACATCTCAACAACCGTTTAGCGTGTCATGGTATGGTGATATACTGCAAAGACATGCGTAAACTAGATATGGCCACAAAATGCTGTTATTAAGGCCAGTTAGGGATCATGGTGGAATAGTTGTCGCTTAATAAAAGACGGATTGCTCGAATGAGTGCATCACTGACGCCCAGTCTATTGTTATTAGGCAATAGATGAATATAAAGTAGAAAAAATAGGTTTTTCCTCATGGTAAGGCGACACACTACGAAATTTATGGAATCTGGTTAATAATAGACGAGCTAGTTGGATGCTAGAAAAAAACAAGGGATCTACTTTTCAATTGTGCGATGGGTCCATACTTAGGAACTGTGACAAATAGAACAAACTTCACTTATTTTATGGCTCTCTGGCTCTAAATAAACGATAAAATTTACCCCTTTTTGAAGTATGTAACGAGACGATGCAAGTCAAAGTTTCCTAGGTCAGCGTCCCGTCCCTTCTATAACCAGTGGCCGTTTACTCTAACTGATTGCTTGTCCTGCTATTTTTTTTGACTACTTGTCTACTTTTGCGGTATTCACACCTTTCTGGACAGATAAAGACAATTGAGCTTTTTTCTCAGACTGCTAAAGAAATAAAGACTCAAGGAATTTACGAGACGCGAACCACTCAACGAAGAAACTCAGCAAGAAAAGGACTGCAGCGTCCTTCTCCGCAGATAACTCGTTTGGACAGCCGCGGCAGCTGTCGACAACTCAAGAAGCTTCTCATTGTAAAATATGTGTTTATATGCCTGCCTCGCCCAACAGATCTTCGTTTACGGCCGATACTAAAGTTCTACCTCGTCTCTTTGGTCGCAGTCGGCGCCCAAAACGCGCCGGCGGTCACATACCACTACAGCGAGAGACACGCAGAGTTAACTTCCCTCCTAACCCGTTTATCTGAAAGCTTCATGAGTTGTAGTGTGCGTAGTCCATTTAACAATATACAAGTATAACGGTCCTAGGGAAAAAAAAAACTATAAATATAAAAGAAAACAACTTCTTTCAACACCTTCTTACAATATTGGACATGAGGTGAGGGCAAAAAAAAGAAAACGTTAGTATTGAGCTTTACGTAAAGTTGGCATCATTCCTTTATAGTATAGTCGAAACTTTTCTATGTTTCAGTTGCATTATTGGTACAGCTAGACTGAGCCGTAATGTATAGAAAGTTCAAAGGGTTCAATCTATGCCCAGTTTCAACCCATCGAAATATTTGAATATTACTGTATAGCTATCAACCAATAGAAGGGAGACGTTTCGGTGGTGAGCCATTGAAACTTCGTTGAAGTGATGACCTACGATGATGGTGACCTACGATAGGATCAGCGTTACTATGGAATAGTCGATCTATTTTCCAGCACAAATATATATTCGCACTTTCTCACTTAGGGTGAAGAAGTCACCAGAACCCAGCTGTAATGACTAAAAGCATCTATGTACGACAGGTAGCAAATCTAGCACGAGGCACACCGATAGTTTTATTATATTAGAACGGGAAAAGCAGAGAAAAAAACTTTACTGAGCATTTCTTTGCAGAGCAGAACGAATGGCATTCATTTTATGTTACTGCTGCTTCCCTTCGCGATGGCATAGACAAATCCTCATTAGTTAGGCAGGATTTGTCTCCTTTTTCCTGAAATGCAAATGTCTTCATTAGTTCCTCTTTCAAACCCAGCTCGCCCGTTTCTGTAACAAACGTTCAACAAACGTTCTTTTGGCGTACACACATGCGGCGTGAACGGTACAAAATACTTCTCCGATCCTTGATTGGTTTGCCTTTAATAGAGCACTTGACACAGAAAATTTGTTCCTAATACACAAGAGGCCAGTTCTCAACCGATTATTAATGAGTAGGATATTTGTTGCAGATCCTGCTCGGCAAACATTATTTATGACATTTGCTTCGATGTGGGACAGAACACGTTTTATATCTCACTCAGAAACGGAGAATTATCAGTATATTAGAGGGAAACTAAGCCATTGTTAAGGCTTACCTTAAAAAGTCAGACAACATATGATACCCGTATAACAAACAGAACGTTACAGGTAGCAGGATACCTTGCTGCAGTGGCTAGCCATTCTGCTGAAGCTCCTCGATCAAGCTTTTATCTATGGACTACTAGTGCCAGCCTATGGTTAGCCCAATAACGATAATCCGTTACTTTATCAGCGTCACCAGTTAAGCATCTGTAGCTCCCAAACGATCTACCGCGCACCAAAAGCGATATCGAACTACTCGATACGCGATTTCGCAGCATGTTTCCTCGGTATTACGAACTGCGATCGTCGACTCGTGCATTCTTCACCAGCCTTCTTCCCAAGCTACAGAATCGTCCGTCCCGAATCCCTCGAAGCTCCGCATTCAGATGCTCAAGCCTATGATGAAGCTTATCGTCACGTTTGTTATGTCTGAATGCCACCCAACGTCAGTCAGTTTCACTCGCCAACAATCGAAGAAAGCCGAAGGGTGTACCCTTCATGTTTTGAATTCAAGCGTTGGTACATCAGTGCTAACACACTGTGGACATTACTACGCACGTCACTAATTGGGCCTCGGCTCTATTCATCGTGGTCGATCGCATACTGTCTTCGCTTTGCTTCCTCTTCGACGGTCAAACAGATTACAGCGATGCGTCAGCACTCATGGTCGAGAGACGCAGTTATCTCCTCAGATTGCTCTCCGATATCGCTTTCCCTCGCAGTTTGCCACCGGCTCGCAGCATTCATAGCAAGAGTTGCGTCTTGTGGATCTAATAGTTCATCGATGAACTTGTCTCGTTGACGTAGGCTTTCATGCTACTAGCTAATTGTACAGGAACTGCGCCGTTGGCCAGCGTCGAAGGTTTCCCGCAAGATGTATATGTTCAACGATATGCGAGATCAAATCGTTTATTATATATACAAATTACACGCTTCAAGATGAAGCAATCAAGTTGAACGGCGATACATGGACGGACGGCGAGATTCACGTTGGTAAATATTGTTGCATATTAAGTAAGGTCTAAGGGATCTTCACCGTGATGATTTTGTTCGCTTTTTTTGTTGTTCCATCAGAGCTTAAAAACACGCACGTTTCAGGGATTTGGACTAAATATTAAACACAAACTTTATGTCATTTTGTATTTGCCAGAGTCGACGACGTACCGTCAAAATCGATGCACTGGGTAAGTAAACCACATCTGGGTCAATATGGCAATACAAACAAAATAACAGCAGTCACATATGGCAATACAAACAAAATAACAGCAGAAAAAACCAACGCTTGGCCACAACAGGGCGCACTCACATTTGCACAGTCCTCTCATAGCTATTGCCAGACCATATGCCACAATGTTCGATCTCGAATTAATTATGTATATATAAAGCGACACATTCATTCGTTGCGGTCAGATCTTTCCGAAGACGTAGGACGAGCTGTGGGCGACAGCAAACATGGAAACAAAGCCGCAGATGAAAAACGAGGTGTTTTCTCAAAAAAAAAGTTAAATCTGCTCGCAGGACGAATATAGCTTGCATTGCGACAAACTGAATCTGGGTTGTAAACAAAATTGATTTAGATGTGTGCAGGACTCATCTTGAATAGGGAGCACCTTAGAAGATCTGGCGCCAAATTGGTTCAGCACTTATTTCTGTTGAGAAATATATAGACAGGATGGGGCGGGGCTAAAGTTCCTTGTCGGTTCGAATAGAAGTTATTCGAGAGTTTTCATTTTCAAGTTTGTTAAAGTACAAAAGTGTAATGTGTAGTAATGAGTAATAGAAAAAATTTACTACTAAAAAGCTATTTACTAAAAAGCTCTTGCTTTTTTCACACATATATGCCTATATATATATATATATATATACGTATGTATTTAAGTGACGACACGCTGGTATCCGATTCATTCCGACAACGCAGCGCTTTTACATAGCGATAGCGGAGAGGAAAACTTGTCATGTGTTATTTCTAGGCAGCGTATATATATATATATATATATATATATATAAAACAGTATCTGAAGGAAGGTCCAAGTCGTCTACAAGCTATTTTAAGCCGTTTTAAGCTAATTGATCGAACTCTTTTAATCCCTTTATTAGATTAATTAACTCATCTACCACTGAGTAAAATACATGTTAGTATTAGAAACCAAACAATATAGCTCCGCATATTGTTTTGCATTGAGCCCTGTTTCAGTTTCTGCTAACCCTCCACGAAGTTTGGTGACCTTTAACTTGATCGAAATAGCATGGAGCACATAGAGATTGGTGAAACAAGATCCGAATAGATTCTAGGAGATGACCATAAGTCTAAGTATACTCTAAATGCAAAACACTATTTAATATATAAAGGTGATTTTTCGTAAATACTATTCTTCTTTCTTTATTAGTAAGATACTCAGTTTACTGACGTATAGGGAGCGATACGGGTATATTCCTGTTTCAAGAAACTAGACAAGGAGACAAACAAACAAAAATCCGTACGTATTTAAATAGCCAATATTAACGAACAAACTGTGTATGTTACGTTGAAGATAATATTAAGGCTGTCCTTACAAAAGCCGTTCAAAATTGCGTTCATGCTGCTTTAAAGATGGCCCAAGTTCCTCCATAATAAATGAAATGTGTGGGTACCATTGTGAGCATGTCCTACGTTGTTCTCGTACTGTTGTTCGGGAGGTAAGAAGCACATAGTTCCGTGATGATATCCAAAAAAGATGGCCATCTTGAAACCAAAATGCCTCAACTGAGAAATCTGAGATTGCGGAGCTCCTAGCTAAAACCGTAATATCTTATATCATATCTTCCTGCTTCTCTGCCCTCTTCCCCAACCCATTATGGATCTCATTACAGCAGCTATTCAGACTGGCCACGCGTCGTATACGAGGCATTCTCTGGGACTGCTCTGGGTTGGTTACTTGGTGCTGCGCAATGGCCGACTATAGTGTGTGCGTATACAATGAATTTTCGTAAGGTTTATCTTTGCTTTCACCATGTACGAAACCGTTTTATAGTGTTACAGTAGTTTTAGATATCTGATTCAACAAATAAATATCCGTCATTGAATCCTAAATTAAAATCGATACTCATGCATACTGCTAAGAGATTGTTGAGCAAAGGCCGCAACAATAAAGGCAAGACCGATACTAAATATAGCATGACATAGATAAGGATGATTACACTTTTATGAATTGAGTGGCGGTAGGTTCAGGGACATCAATTTTTTTATGCAAATGCGATGATCGCCTGAGTGCGCTTTGTTGCAGCAAGAAAACATGTACATCTACTTTCCAATCTTAACGCCACACGTAAGATACACAGATATCGTGACGGCGTTTCTTAGGCCACCTCTTACGTGCCCTTACGTGTTTCGACCTCACCGTATCTCAGCGGCGTTCGCTGATACGAGCAGGGTAAGTTGTAAAAATGAAAGATCTGGCGCAAAGAAAGGTCAGATAGTAACCGGAAATATCTCCCTCGAGTGTTATCGAAGTTAGCTTCTTACGACAACGTTGGCTCGACGCGGCGGTATCTCCATCTTCACAGTCGCTAGTCCGACGCACACCCCACTTTGCCAGGCTCCAAGCCCGACGGTAGTATCGGTGGATTCGGTTACAATTCACATGCACTGGTGATCAGCAGGCTGTACCAGCTCAATAGCTTATTGATTTGTAGACGGGACATAATTCTTGGGACCATTCATTTCGTCTAGAGCCCCCGCATGCCTCACCAGCCCCTTAGTGACTGTCAGGCCAACCGTGTTGGCATTAGCCCGCGCAGTCCAAGCCTTCAGATGCGTTCTGTCCATTCTGGGGATCCGGCTATGCGGTTCAATGCTTCATTCAGTTTACAACCGACCCACTTCCTGCTTGGCTTCCGGCATTGCTGATCCAAAAGAGGATGAAGACACGAAATCGACGAAGAAGCCATATACGTGTGTGTAGTAATAGTAAAGAAGTAACCGCAACTTCCACCTCTTTGGCTATTGCCACGCGAACTTATCATTCGCCGATAACGTTGGTGGAGCATGAACAGCGACCACATCCATTTCAATACGTCTCTTTACAATATGTTGCAGATGAAAAGTGCATCGAGTATACGTAATTTGAGTCAGACATTGGCTAACTGTGGGGCTTCACTAATATATGTACGTGTGAGTGACAAAAGACGTGAAGGAAAGCAAAAGCGACCTATTCAAGCACGGAAAAAACATACACAGCAAAATGACGGATGGATATTCATTAGGATTCGGTACGCAGGGCGCGATCAATTACTAGCAGTAATTCCTTCAGTGAGTATCAGAGTGAAAACACTGCGGATAATCTAAACGACGTTACGTTCTGCCGGACGGAAGGTACCAGCACATCTATTGCACACATTAGTCAAGGCTGGTTTTTCTTATGGCATTGTTTCGGCCATTTGAGATATTGTCCTAAACCACTTTATATGGCGCAAGTTAACTCATTCGATTTTTCGACAGTGTACATACTTTATTTGGGGAAAAATCGTCTTAAAAATATGCATTGCTATGATTTCATATAGAGTTTAGCAGCTTTTGCCCCGCTAGATTTTCCAGCTTGCGAAACGTACGTATGATATTAGTTTACGATACCCCACTGCTGCAGCGATGACGACAAGAGAGCTGAATGACAAGCGACAACTGGCTGTTATCGATTTATTGCGCATCGGCCGTCTCTGGACTATCCTTTCTTAGGTTGAGCAGTAAATTATTTCAAATACTTCTCTTTCAATACAGTTTATAGCGTTCAATGGATAAGTTATCAAGTCTACTAGAAGTGAACAAACTTATAATAGCTCAGGATTCGGGTATCCTATGTCTGGCCACTTTGCAATTAGGTTGGTTTCCTATTGGTTACCTAGACAATGATGCGCTGATTATGCACAAAGGTAACAAGCTATTACCCGCCTCCAGTAGGTCTATCCAATATTTTGTGTTTCTTAGCTGCGACTTATATATACGTATTTTCCAGCTTTCCCCGCCGCCTGTTGGCCGTGTATCGGTGTTATACGGTCTAGCTTTTTCGGCCACTTGTACTAGCGCATCCGTAATGCGATGCATTACTTGCGGATATATCGGATGGTCCTTGTTTATGCTGGGCCGAGCCTTGCTATGCCTACATTTTTGTTGTGCGGTGTTATGGCCCTTCAGCTGTGCGCCCGACGGCGGGCGCCCACGATTCCTGAGGACCTGGGCAGCAGCAGACGCATGCTGGTATAGCATACACAGAAGACTTGATTTTTCAGGTGGCAGTGCGTAGGTGTCTATCGCTCGTGCTGATAGCACTTCACTCCGTCCTCTTTATTAGTAAAAATTCTATATCGGATTTCGGCTTATCTTCTACTCAGTTCGGCTCACTGACTTGCGGCTCAACCGGTTTTATGATTAATCCCTATACCCTGTTAAATACTGGCGCCTTTTGTGAATGAAACAATTGGTTATTAGTTTTATTGTTACCAACATCAAGAAGAACCAGTAGGATACGTGTCTTTTAAGGTTCTAACTAGCTTCACCTTACTGTTGGTATGAATTCTGTGCGTTCCAGGTTCACTTATTGCTGTGCAGTGTCCTATTGCTGACCCTTACGAGAATCCTGTCCATTGCATTCGAGATCCGTTGATTTGACAGGATTAAATTTTTTTTCTAATCATAACTTTCCTTTGCATGTCGTTGTCGTTTTGAGATTATTAGTAGGATGCGACGATAGTTTCATCTCGGGCCCTGGTATATAAAAGTCAGGATGCGCTCAAGTATTGTTCTCTAGGTAACAGTTCATTGATTGGCTCGTTCTGTTACTTGCTATCCCATAAATGCTATATTTATAATCTCTTTAATTAGAGGCAGCCTTCTTTACTAGGCGCTTGGCTGCTGTGGTCGGCTTGATGATGGTAGGTGCGTTTGTTTTCGCCTACCGATTTTGTACAAAATTCTGTATGTAAGCCTGTGAGCCTTTCTCTAGGACTTCTGTGCCTCCTAAAATAGTACCTGTCTTTTTAATTATGCTATTGGTTGTCGTGTGTTCGTCTAATTTGAATAATATACAGTAAGAAACTAGTATTTGTCATCTCACACAAGTATGTCTTGGTGCACCGTTCGCCAAGGCCGTTGTGGGTAGGCATTTTCTACGAAATGGCTTCGTTGCTTCGGTCCATATGTTTGAGACGCTGTACCTCTGTTCACTAAGTCTTTTAGATTATTCTTTATAGCTAGCCAGTATATGGGGCATAACATCGCCATATATTATATGAAATTTGTCTGTCGGATAGAAAAATTCAACATTCAAACTTTGCGGAATGATTATCGTGGGTTTCTATACAGGATTCCTTGGTCCTCAATGAGTCCATTCCGAACCACCAGAGGAAAGAGATTATTACATTTTTATAATATAGCTTGTCGATGTCGGCCCCACATCACAGAGTTGAGGTTTATAGAAGTACGCGTACAAAAAACTATTTTGGACACGGTGAAGGAAGATACACTGGCTTTAAGCAAGATCATCGGTAACTATGAGACGATGCATCCTATTTACCTCTGCTTGGCCGAATGTTATTTGCATCAGAAAAAGATGATAGTCTTTTATGTTGCACAATTTA